ATACGCCAGAATAGTTGGTGGTTCATTCCCCTGGGGTGACCCCTGATGAATCAGAGAGTAAAGCTGGAGGAAAATGAATGAATGAAGGAATGAATGTAAATTATTTTTAGGTAATTTTTTGCATTTTGTAAATGTAAGAATACGCACAAAATGGCGTACATGTAATACACAAACAACACACAGACAATTTGCTCATTTTCTCAGCAACAAGTAGTAAGCATTGCAGGTGTTTGAAGCTTTAGTTACAGCTATTCGCAGGGAGATGTCATGTAAATGCAATTTACACATGCAGTCACGCTCTACGTCTTAATCCCTGGTAAAGCCGTCATGAAATCGAAAGTGAAAGTGAAAGTAAACGACGCACGTTTGAAACGGTGTCTTTGTGGATTTAGTGATCTATGTCTCCCCTTTGTGCCTTTTAATGGAATTGCAGCAAATCCAGACAAATAACACAACCTTCTTTAACTTAAATAATCACAATTATTTATTGTTTATTTAATAATCCCGGCAGGTCTATTTTATAAGAGTTATATCAGACTCAAGGACCTAATTTCCCAGTACACATTTTCACTTCTGAATATTGACTCTTCTAGCGTATGTGAACATTTTAATCATCAGCTGATCACTTTTAATATCCATTTTCCATCTATATATTTCTGCAGGGCTCCAGTAATAATTGGCTGCGTGTGATTCCTCGCACACGTTTCGGGGCATTTGCAAGAGGAGCGAAAGTTGTGATGTTCACCAAACACAGCGGCTCACACACCCGCATCATTGATGGAGGATCGGGATATCTGTGCGAGATGGAGCCGGTGGCGCACTTTGGTTTAGGTAGCAGCAGCTTATACACATCTAATCATTATATGTTCATTCTGATATCAGTTTTAGACGTGTATATGTGTAGATAAAGCTTTGGGGGGGTGGAGGGGTTTCCATTTTTAAAGTGAAATTTACCATTTAGTTACTGTACCTACATTTAAACCATTATTGAAGTTAAATCTATGATTTAAATTGAACTTTCAACTTTTTGTACTTAAATTTACCATTTAGTTTACTGCATAGACCTGGGTTTGATCCATCATTTTCTACTACATGCACAAATAAGTGGGCGAAGCTAATAGGGTATATGCCGAAGCATGCTAATAGGACTTTTAATTTGATAGTAACCTGGGTTAATCGTTTCCGGTGGACTATATGCCAATGCAAAATCAGTGCATTTAAGGTCAGTTTTCGTTAAAAATCAGCGATCTGCACTGGCTGAGTGATATCTGATATAAAGCGGGTCTCAGATTGTACAGGATGCACTGCATTAAATCACATTTCCCCTGCCATGTCTTTATAATATGAACATTTATTTTACCCCCGTATATTCAATGGAGCTTCTGCGCTAGCATGCCGATTCTGATGGGCGCGTGCGAGAAAACAGCTTTTTGTCTCGTTTTACGCTTGAGCAACTAAATAAATGCCAAAGTCTGCCTAACTGAGTGTATTTGAGCTACATTACAACATCAATGCTGTAAAAGGAACCGTATAAAATGGAAAAAAACTCACAATGACAGGTCCCCAGAAGTGTGTATCAGTATGGGAAAAACACTAGCTCAGCATATACCCCATTAACAAGCCATGATGTAGATGTGGGCGTTGCTCTTCTTTTAAAAAAAGTTTAGACTGTCTAAAAAACTTTTGTTTTGTTAATTTTCAAACAAAGTCTGACATTTTGCTTCTGGGTTTGAAGAGGCGGTCCTTCTGTTGACGTTAGTTTGACAGTTTTTAACTAACATTTTGAATCCCGCCCCTTTTAATGATGTGCAAAAGAAAGCCCCGCCTCCTACTCAATATTCCATCTCATTTGGAAGTTTTTGTTTTTTTCCATAGGATGCTTTTTTATAGTCCAGCGACCTCTAATAAGTCGAAAGTTGTTGATTTTCACATGATTTTCCCTTTTAAAAAATCCTTGCTGACCCAATTTTTTTTCTTTTAGCTGTCTTTTAGCCGTCTTTCATATGAGACGTTAAACCGAGGTCCTGACTCTCTGTGGTCATTAAAAATCCCATGGCACTTCTCGTGAAAGAGCAGGGGTGTAACCCCGGTGTCCTGGACAAAGTCCCTCTATCGGCCCTCACGATCATGTCCTCCCAATCATCCCCTTCCACCGAATTGGCTCGATCACTGTCTCTCCACTCCACCAATAACTGGTGTGTGGTGAGCGCACTGGCGCCGTAGTCCTGTGGCTGCCGTCGCATCATCCAAGTGGATGCTGCACACTGGTGGTGTGGAGAGACCCCCCACATGATTGTGAAGCGATTTGGGTGTATGGCCATACACAATAAATGCGCTATATAAATACACATTACATAGCTGTGCTCCATAATTTTTCTGACACTGTAGTCATTAACATTTTGTGTTCATTGGTTTTTAGGGACTGATGAGGCCACCAGCATTGAAGTCTATTGGCCGGATGGTCGCTCCATTGCTCGACCACTTGAGTCAGCAGATATGAACACAGTCATTGAGATCGCATATCCTAATGAGGGGGAGGAGTCAGCGCTCACATCTGACACACAGGTATGGGTGCATGCAAAGGAGGAGGAGGAGTCAGAACACACTTTACACAAGCAGGTATGGAGATATGCAGATCAGGAACAAAAATATTCACGTATAAAACATTCTGAATCTTAAAGCACTGTGTTTGATGTTTGCAGTGTGGAGAGGGATTCACAGTCAACACCAACGGCCGCTGTACTGGTAAGAAATCAATGCTTTATACTTAATTATCTGTGATTTATTTGCTGGAGGTAAAAGTTAATGCTAAAACTTGGACAAATTTGGGAGAAAATTAAATATTTTTTGGAAGAAAAATTTATATTTTAGGAACTAAAATTCAAACCGTTTTAAATGATAATTAAATTAATATGATATAATTAAATATCTTTAACAATTTATGATTTATAAGAAACATGTACATTTTTAGTGCCAAAAATAGATGCATTTTGTGATTAAAAATTTAATTTTGGATCCTTTAAATGCATATTATTTGAAATATTCATGAATATATATGTTGTATTGCTCTTATTGGCCAACAGGGAAGTTAATGATAGTAATAGATAGACGACTTTAACAAATAATGAACTTGTTAAAAAAACATTTATGGCTTCAAATCCAGTTTTGGACCTTTTTAATTAACGCAATAGCACTTGCATATTCATAAATATGCAAAACAATGCTTAGAATTTTGCATATTCATGAATATGCATATATCATTGCTCTTATTGGCCAACAGGGAAGTTAATGATAGTAATAAATAGACAACTTTAACAAATAATGAACTTGTTAAAAAAAACATTTATGGCTTTAAATCCAGTTTTGGACTTTTTTAATTAAAGCAATAGCACTTGCATATTCATAAATATGCAAAACAATGCTTAGAATTTTGCATATTCATGAATATGCATATATCATTGCTCTGATTGGTTGACAAGAAAATTTATTCACTAACTGACAAAAGATTTGTCATCGATCCCAATTGTAAGAGCAACAAATAATAACTTGACTTCTTGTTGAACGTTTGGAAAAGTGGCAGAAGGTGGATTTTTCTGATGAATCATTTGTTGAGCTGCTTCCCAATTATCACAAATACTGCAGAAAACCTACTGGAACCAACATGGAGCCAAGATTCTTACTGAAATCAGTCAAGCTTGGTGAAAGAAAAATCATGGTTTGGGGTTACATTCAGTATGGGGGCGTGGATGATCAACATCAAGAGCCTGAGGTATCAAGACATTTGTGCTGCCCATTACATTACAAACCAGGATGCTCCAGGATTGGCCAGCCCAGTCACAAGATATAAACATTATTGAGCCTTTCATATAAGCCACTTCTGATGCCAAATTATCAACTAGAAGTCAAGTTATAATTTGCTGTTCCTAAAACTTGTATAGATGACAAGACTTTTGTCAGGTAGTGTAGTCATTTAAAAACTTCATAAATGTCTATAAATGCAGAGCAAACACTGATATAGTTCATTATTAGATGATGAAATTATGAACCAGTGACATTTCTTTTTCTCTCTCTTGCCCCTCAAACAGCGACAGCCTGAGTATTTTCAGCTGGACATAAAGTGTTTCCTCATCTTATTAAATCAGAGCTGCGCTGACAGACGTCACACTGATAATGAAGATCTTTAGATGCTAAATCTTCTGTTAGTAGATTAAACCTGTATATTTTGACTCAGCACATTTCCAAGGATAAAATATTATTAAAACACTAATTCTGAAAATGTTTACACGCACTTCTGCTGCTGTTTCTACTAGTTTAGAAAAACATTATGTTGAAAACCGGAAGTGTATGCAATAAAAATAAAGGATTTTGTTTTATTTTCACTTCAGTTGTTTTGTATGTGCATTGTCAAATTAAAGAAATAAAGGTTTAATTTACTCAAAAATGTAAATTCTCAATCTTTTTTTATTGTTGTAAAATTCTCCAATAATATTTACTTTGTTTTTAAATTGCATCTTTATTATAGAGACGTAAAATCTAAAGCTAATATGTAAGACAGGGGTCACCAATCTCGGTCCTGGAGGGCCGGTGTCCCTGCAGGGTTTAGCTCCAACTTGCCTAAACACACCTACCTGGGTGTCTTAAGTATACCTAGTAAGACCTTGATTAGCTTGTTCAAGTGTGTTTGATTAGGGATGAAGCTTAAATCTGCTGGACACCGGCCCTCAAGGAACAAGTTTGATGACCACTGATGTAAGATATGCAATTCTGAGTTGCACTGATTGGAAGATTCTCTGTGTAAACAAAAAACAATTGAGTCCATTATTAGTATAATAACACAACAGCCTGAAATCAGGACTTTACCTGAACCTCCACTGGCTCCTTTCACACCCATTTCTTCATTCTGTCCACATTAAGGTCTCTGTATCTGTTTTTATAGCACATCTTCATCCTCTCTCTCTGTTTCTCCAGCTCTTATCTCCAGCTCTGAAAGCAGCGTCTCTTCTTCTTCTCCACCTGCTCTAGTTTTCATCTTCCTGAGCTTCTCCTTGTCTCTTCAGTGAGTGTCTCTGGAGGTGGCCTTTCTGTTCAGCTCAGTCCCACTGGATCTATTAGATTCGCTCTGTCAACATGATGAAGAGCTCAGCGTGTCCAGATGAAGCATAAATAATAAGAGAAGAAAATCCACAGTCGTTCTTATGGACCTCCAGAGAACTGACCGAAAAACACAGAGCTGCTGTGGAGTCTTGCTGCATGAGTGCTTGTCTCTATTAAGAGAAGAATGTCAGTGAAAAAAGTTAAAAGCTGGATGAAATCCCAGTTGTACCATGTAAATACAATATAGGTTATGCCAAAAAGCTACTTTCTTACCTTAAAGTCTGTGGGAAATCATACATTGACAATGTTTATTTTCAACCCAGACTCATTATAGATGCATACCCCTGTGTACATTTCTGAAGAGTGTGAAATATGTCCCAGGAGCTACATTTTTTGCAGTTTTTGGTTTTGCAGATCCACCATAGGCCGATGTGTACACTTTTTCAGCTCTCCCCCCTACAGAGCGCTATCAACTGACTGACTGTCCGATCCCCCATCCAACGCCTTCCCTAAACCCAACCGATAGTGTTTTCTTAAAAAGCACCAATTGACCCGATCACCCCCTTCCCTAATTCCAACCGTCAGTGTTTTTCAAAAGCAATCCAGAACAAGAAAATCCCTTGCGGCCGGCTGATTTTTACCATGTTTTCAGATTTTTCCACTTTTTCACCCTGGTATTTACATGTTTATTTTATTTTTTGCCTTTCGATTTTGTTTTACCTGCTTCCTGGGACAGTTCTTCACCAGACTCAATCCCTGTCATCGTGGTCAACTCCTCCCTGCGCCTCAAGTCCGCTGACATACGCGACGAGCCACTGAGCAAACTAGTAACAGCGGAAAAGACGTCCACACGGAGGTAAGCAGTCAGTAGGTAAGCACAAAAAGAAACAGAAGCCGTTGGCGGCGTCATATCACCGTGTAGCGTTTGTTCTAAAAACGAAATGCAGCCATACGTACCTCTGGTTACATAATTTGCACTCTCCAGAAATGTATACAAGGCTACACAATCACAATGTGCCAGTGTTTTTTATTTTGCTAGTGCACATTGTTATTTATCAATCCTCAAAAAAAATGTTGTTTTAGTGATCTTAAATCAAAGTCTGAGCATTTGTGTCCGGGTTTGGAGAGGCGGTCCTGTTGATGTCAGTTTGACAGTGTCAACTAACATTTTTAACCACGCCCCTCTTAATTATGCACAAAAGGAAAGCTCCGCCCCCCCACTCAATATTCCATTTCAGTTAGAAGTACTTCAACATAGTGAAATAAAAATCTAATAAATAACAATATGTAAAATTGTCTAGTTAAAATGTCTACAAAAACACTAGAACAGTTGCGAAAACTTTGTGCGCTGTTGAAAAAGGTAAACATTGGGTGAAAAAAACAAGCTACATCAGTCGCGTCTTTTTCATTTATGTTTGTTATGAATACACGCCCTCTAGTGGCCAAAAACTGCATTCTGTGCCTTAAAGTCTAGAATAAATCTAAAATACAACAGTAAATAAAACATGAGATACAAAAGTTCAGACCCTTTGCTTCTACGTTTGGAGTGGGCGGTTCTTCTGTTGACATTAGTTTGACACTATTTTCCTAACTAGGCCCCTCTTAATTATGCTGAAAAAGAAATCCCCGCCCACTACTAATTATTGCATTTCAGTTAGAAGTACTACAATATACTAAAATAAAAATCTCAGCAACTTTGCCAACTTTAAATGTACAATATGTACAATTTTGTAGTTAAAATGTTCATAAAAACACTAAAACAGTTGCGAAAACTTTGTGCTCTATTGAAAAGGTCAACTTAAAGCAGAAAAAGCGAGCTACATTAGTTGCGTCTTTTTCATTCTTGTTTGTGATAAATGCACTCCCTCTAGTAGCTAAGACCGCATTCTGTACCTTAAAGTCAAGAATAAAGCCAAAATACAACAGTAAATAAAACATGAGATACAAAAAGAGAAATTTGACAATCATTTTTCTCATTTATTTTGCTACACAAACAGAAAAAGCACTTTCAACTTCTTTTTCTCTTTGCATAAATTCTTGGGGCCAAAGGTTCTCAGTAAGAAAATGGAAGCTCATGACGAAGGATCGTGTGAGGAAGCTCTGGCCCTTGGCAGTTCACGTCATCAGCACTCGTTTCCGCTTTGACGGCGCATTATGAGTACAAAGCATGAATGTTTAGCACACTATGAAATAAAACATAAATCGTAAATAAAGTCACAAATAGTACCCGTGATTTAATATGGCAGTGTCTGGGGTCAGATCTCCGCATCTGTCCTCATCATGAACATCTACAGATTCTAGTCTACAAATTGGACTCTTTTTTCGATAGTTAAGAGTAAAAGTGCTCAACTCCAAATACTCAAACACAAAAGGGGTAAAAAACGATGAGGATGGAAGACTGTTGTGTGCCGATCGGCAGCTACATCACACAGCGTTTGTGAGCGAGATTGCATATTACAGTGACAGAAGCGTATGTGCGCTTTAACCAGTATGCTACAGATAGAAAGGAAGATTGTTTCTGCTGTGAGGAACAGAAATGCGTGATACCTTTCTTAGACTTTAGGAGTAAATCTTGGACTTCTTTTTTTTCACAGCCTTGACTTTTTTTTACTTCAAAAATCTGACTTTACATCTTGTAAATGGGTCTTTTTTTCTGGATTTTTTTCAGTTTACATCTTAAAATTCTTAGTTTATATCCTGAACTTCTGATCTTTTTCTTGGATTTCTTTGTTTAAATCTCAGAAATACGATCTTTTAGATATTCAGATTTCTTTCTTTTTTTAGAACTTAAAGTTTATTCTTGGAATTTCAAGTTTAGATCTCACAGACGGGACTTTTTCCTCAGGTCTTTAACTTTACATCTCAGATTCAGGAATTATTTTCCTGGAATTTAAGTTTATATCTCAGAAATCAGACTTTTTCGAGGGAATTCTGCATTTACATATTGGAATTTAGATTTTCTTTCTTGCAATTCTGAGTTTACATCTTAGTATTCTGCCTTGTTTACTGGAATTTTGACCACATCTAGGAATTCTCACTTTTTCCTTGGAATTAGAGTTTAAATTTTGGAAATCTGACAGATTTTTCTTGGAATTCTAAATTTACATCTCAGACTTTTTTCATTGGAAATGTGCAAGTTTTACATCTGACAGTTCTGACATTTTGTAGAAATTCTGAGTTTGCGTCTTTTAATTCCAATTTTGAGGGGAAATTCTGACTTTACTTTGCAGCGGTTGGCTTTGTTCATATTTTACCCAAATTTGCATTGAAGTAACCCTTGAATTGTGAATGTATATTCCACTATTCTAACGTTTAAAAGAAGTCTAACACAGAAAGTTTACACACACAGGACTTTTTCCTCAGGACTCTGACTATAAATTCTTCTGACTTTTTTTCTGTGAATTCTTAATTTAAATCTCAGAATCCAGACATTTTCTTGGAATTCTGAGTTTACATCTCAGAATTTATTTTTCCTGGAATTTTAAGTTTACATGTTGGAGTTTTGATTTTTTTTTTTCTTCCATTTTTAGTATAAATATCAAAATCAGACTTTCTTGAAATTCTGACTTTTTCTTGGAATTCTAGATTCACATCTCGGAAATTTTTGTTGGAAATGTGTTAGTTTACATTCTTTTTGTAAGAATTCCAAATTTTCAGAGACATTCCGACTTTAATTGCCAGCATATTTTACCGTCATTCAGGTTGAAAAAAACACATTCATTTACAAATCAGTTTGTATCAAATAAAATTTTGCCATTCTAACTTCTAAAAGAATTCTAAGTCTACACACACTGGACTTTTTTCCCTCTGGACTTTTTTTTCTTTCACTTTTTTTGCCTTTTCCTGGATTTCTCAGTTTAAATCTCTGAAATCAGACTTTCTTGGAATTCTGATATTTTTGTTCTAGGAATTTGAGTCTACATCCTGGAAATCTGACAGATTTTTCTGGGATTTTTGAGTTTACATCTTGGAAATCTGACTTTTTGTGTTGGAAAGTGCAAATTTACATCTCACAGTTTTTGTCTCATAATTTTAAATTTGGGGGTAAATTCTGACTTCATAAGTTATTTTAGTTTAGGTTGAACCCAACCCATTTATTTACAAATCAGAGTTTGTAGAGTTAATGTCTTGGATTTAAGACCTTTTTCTTGGATTTCAGACCTTTTTCTTGGATTTCTTTGTTTAAATGTCAGAATTCTGACTTTTTCTTGAAATTCTGATGTTAAATCTCAGAATTCTGACAGATTTTTCTTCAAATTCTGAGTTTACTTATTAAAATGTTGACCTTTTTCTAGAACAATCACTGTTTACATCCCAGAAATCTGACTGAGTTTTATTGTAATTATGACTTTTTCCTTGGAATTCAGAGTTTACATCTCAGAAATCTGACTGAGTGTTCTTGAAATTCTGAGTTTAAATTTTCAAATTTGGACTTTTTCTTAAACTTGTGAGTTTATATCTGAGAATTCTGACTTTTGCTTGGAATTCTGAGTTTAGATCCTGCCATTCCTCCTAATTTACCGTTTTTAATTTGCATTACTCAGTAGCAGAAACACGCTTCCACAGCTAGCGACTCGAGAATGTGCAACGACTGCAGGTTTGTGAAGGTGCTGAAGGGTGACTGAGGTAATGACGAGTCAGCACATGTGTCTTGTGGAGGCAGGTCATGTCAGGTGTGTGGCTGTTTGGCGATGCTGAATGCTCAGCGTGTGTGTGTCTGTGTGTGTTCAGCAAATGTCAGTATGAAGGCGTCACACGTGAGTGAATGAGTGAGTGTGTGTGTATGTTATGGTGTATAAATCATCGTCCGCTGCTGCTGGTTGTACTGCTTCCTGAGCTGGAACCACTGGATCCGCGATCCTCGTACACACTGATCTCAATCTAACACACTCGGGTTAAGGGAATAACACAAATATATGTGACATTACAAAATCTAACATGCAACTAGTCGACTTCACATGCTCATACTGGAATATTTTCTCAGTGTTGGGGGTAATGAGTGTGCCCACATGCAATATGTGCGCACAGACTTCTGCAGATTTTTAGCCCATCATTAATTCTGTTTATTTACTGGAGTAAATGTGTGTAAATCTAAATGTATTCAGTTTTTTACTTAATTACAGCGATATTATTGACTATTATGAAAATGTTCATCTGATTCATGTACAACACAGTTTGTTAAGTAATATGTTCTGTCTTTTAGTAAAGATATTATATAAGAGACTTGCTTTGTTTACCAAATTAAGTGAATCTATTTGTATTTGCATTTGAAACATTAAACAATCGTTATAAAGGTATTACTTTTTTTTTCATGTATTAAGGTTTTAGTTATGATACTCTGCTGGATACTCTCAAAATAATTCCGCAGAAATCGGCAGATTTTTACCAAAATTCTCTGCAGAAATCGCAAAAAACGTCCGCAGATTTCGTCTGGACCTGGTAATGATATAGCTTCTCTGCTGAATAACTGAAGTAAGGCATTACTGTTCATTTTCTTGTCATTTAAATACAGCCACTTTTAATGTACTTGTTTTAAATACCACAAATCAATTTAACAAATCAATTCAGAGAAGCAGAGTTTTTGTATACAAATATATTTTGCAGAATTAAATTTTTTTTTAGCTTAAAAAGGTTTCATTAATCAAAGACTAGTGGACATGCTTCAAAATGACTCTAGTTCATGCAAATTACAGGTATAAATTCACATAATATCACAATTTTCCAATGAAAAAATTAGAAATGTGTTAATAAATGTTTATGAAATATGGGATCATTAATTTGAAACATTTTGTGTTTGATAAATAGTGTTAATCTATTTTTTTTAAGTAAAACTACACTGTCCTGATTAGAAGAGTTAAACTTCTATTGCCTGTGCATTGAAATTTATATGGATTATTTAAAGCATTTTTGAGATAATTAATTAAATTACTCATTGAGTAATTAGGCTACTATTAGTAAAGCAATTTGAATACAATTTTAATTATGTAATTAGAGACTTTATTTATTTATTTAAACAATTTAATAATTATTTCCCAGAGATGGGTTGCGGCTGGAAGGGCATCCGCTGCATAAAAACTTGCTGGATAAGTTGGCGGTTCATTCCGCTGTGGCGACCCCAGATTAATAAAGGGACTAAGCCGACAAGAAAATGAATGAATAAATTAAATAATTAATCACCCAACACTGCTTTTCATACATATTATTGATAACACATAGGGCAATAAAGAATGTGCAGACATTTTCTGCTATTTCTGTAAAGAACTTTGTAAAAAATCTGCAGATTTATGTAAAATTATTGATAATTTTGAGAGTATCATAATTAAAAACGGAATAAATGAATATATTTTTTGTTATATGGTAGGATACGACCCTCATGCCTCTCTCTATCGGGTCTGTGATGAGGAGACCTCGAGGAGCGTAAACTTTCTCATTCTGCTCCTGAATGTAGCGCGAGATCTTCTTCAGCACCTGCACACACACACACACACACACACACACACACACACACACACACACACACACACACACACACACACACACCACACACACGCTTTTGACAATCAGCATAATTTTCATTCCCCATATTCTGCAAAAATCAACACACATTTGCAAACAACACCAATTCGTCTGTGTTTACTATGTTTAATATGCTGATAGCTTACCTTCTCGTAACGCGTCTCGATGCACAGGAAGATGAGGTAAACTGTAAGGCAGGCCAGACATCCTTCTATGTAAGACTGGCCTCCGATCTTCTCCGCCTCTGCATAGTAAGTATTCAGCGTCTTCACCGTGTCCTCAAACAGCGTCCGCTCGATCTGACCAATCACATGCAAAGACAAATCAGAGAGCACCAGGGCGATCATTATATTACAGGCATAAGTGGGTTTGAATTCAATACTAGCTAACATTATAAAAACAACAATTTTTTGCTATTTCTGCTTAGAATTTTAAAATAAATAAAATCTGTGGAATGATTTTAAGAGTATGGTAACTAAAAACAACACATAAAATACAAAATAACTTTTAAACTTGTATTTAAGACGTACAATGCAAATCCAGTTAGAATCATTTGTCTGGTAAACAAAGTAAGTCTCTCCATATAATATATCTACTAACAGAGAGATAATATTTAAATATAAGCTGTCAAATCATCTAAACATTTGCATATTATTCAATAATATTACTAAAATTATGAGAAAAACTGAATTAATATACACTCACCGGCCACATTATTAGGTACACTTGTTAAATTGATTAACGCAAATTTCTAATCAGCCAGTCACATTGTAGCAACTCTTGGCATGATCAAGACGATCTGCTGCAGTTCAAACTGAGCATCAGAATGAGGAAGAAAGGTGATTAAAGTGACTTTGAACATAGCAAGGATGTTGGTGCCAGACGGATTGGTCTGAGTATTTCAGAAACTGCTGATATACTGGGATTTTCACGCACAACCATCTCTAGGGTTTACAGAGAATGGTCAGAAAAAGAGAAAATATCCAGTGAGCGGCAGTTCTGTGGGTGCAAATGCCTTGTTGATGTCAGAGGTCAGAGGAGAATGGCCAGACTGGTTCCAGCTGATAGAAAGGCAACAGTAACTCAAATTTACCGAGATCTGCAGAAGAGCATCTCTGAACACACAACACGTCCAACCTTGAGGCAGATGGGCTACAGCAGCAGAAGACCACACCGGGTTCCGCTCCTGTCAGCTAAGAACAGGAAACTGAGGCTACAATTCACACAGGCTCACCAAAACTGGACAATAGAAGATTGGAGAAACGCCGCCTGCTCTGATGAGTCTCTATTTCTGCTTTGACATTTGGATGGTCGCGTCAGAATTTAGCATCAACAACATAAAAAAAGCATTGTTGTTGCTGACCATTTCCATGCCTTTATGACCACAGTGTACCCGTCTTCTGATGGCTACTTCCGGCAGGATAACGCGCCATGACATAAAGGATGAATCATCTTAGACTTGTTTCTTGAACATGACAATGAGTTCACTAAACTCAAATGGCCTCCACAGTCACCAGATCTCAATCCAATAGAGCACCTTTGGAATGTGGTGGAACTGGAGATGCGCATCATGGATGTGCACCCGACAAATCTGCAGCAACTGTGTGATGCTGTCATGTCAACATGAAGCAAAATCTCTGTGGAATATTTCCAGTACCTTGTTAAATCTGTGCAATGAAGGATTAAGGCAGTTCTGAAGGCAAAAGGTGGTCAAACCCGGTACTAGTAAGGTGTACCTAATAAAATGGCCGGTGAGTGTATATTATTACACATATTTACACAAGTTAATAAATAGACTGAATAATAGGACAAATAAATCTGCAGATTGCATGTGGGAAATAAATAAATAGCATTTTGATCATTATATAAACAGATGGGCAGAGAAAGCTTGCTTTGTTAAACTCCCCTTGCCTCTCATTTACTCAGCAAGTCTTTACTGGGCGTCTGTAACATGATCGTACACCTTTAAACACTCTATTATCATCTCTATTAGCGGCTCATTATGTGTGTGTTGTGTGGAGTTTGCGCACTCAGCAGAGCTTTTGCTGAAGAGCAGAGTTTGTCTGGGTGGAGAGCCTTTTCTCTTTCAGTCCTTTTCACTTGTGCTGTCTCTCATTTTCTGACACACACACACACACACTCACACAGACTAGATATATATAATGGTTTGAAAATTTCACATTATGACTATGGTGATCAATGTTATCTCAGTTTTGTTCAGTGTTCAATAATGTACGTCACAGCAACTAAAACATGCAGGTTTATACAGTTTTGTGACAAACAGCAAAGATGGATCCTGCTATTTTGGATTTATTTATGTTTGTATTATTTCATGTACATTGTTTTGTGTGTGTGTGTGTGTTTGTTTTAATAGATAATTTAAGACGTTGTGTGTTAAACGTCCACTTGTAAACCACCTCACAGATATCCCTGTTTACGTTGTTATACATAAAGCTGCTTTATAAAAGACAAAAAGGCCTGTGTGATTTGACAAGAATATCTAATTGAGAGTTTACTGACTAATATTGTGATTTAATTTGCAATTTAAAGGGTGACGGGGTGGCGCACAGGGTAGCATGTTCACCTCACAGCAAGGAGGTCGCTGGTTCGAGCCCGGGCTGGGTCAGTTGGCATTTCTGTGTGGAGTTGGCATGTTCTCTCCCGCGCCGACGGATCGACAATGCAGTTCGGCAATGCCTGACATCACCCATTTAAAGTGAATGGGAAGCGCTGACGCCCCGTGTGAATGGGGTGTAAGTAAGATAGCAATATGAATACTATCTGTGCTTTCGCTCACAGAGAGATTTTAAAGACAAGGGCTGCCTCCAAAAATCACATACTTCCATACTATATAGTGCGCTAAAAACAGTATGCGAGCCAAGTAGTATGTTCAAATTCATAGTATTCGAAAACAGTATGTGAGAAGTTTCCGGATGACCTACTAGTTCAGGCGAAAATCTGAAGTGTGCATCCGATGGACGCTACAATATCCCATGACGCACTGCAAGAAAATTCATGAGTGGGAGTGAAGCAACGCAACTGACGCGGGTAGGTCCCATTATCAGGACAAAATGGCAGATGTAGTACATGCAAGTTACATTCAATTCCCTGTCTCTCCGCGTCAAATATAAGTCAGTGTGGTGTGCAGCGGTGGTGCTTCTTTCTGGAGAAGGCTGGTTCCCTTAAATGAACCTTTTCTTTTGTAAGTTATTGTTGTGTTAAGAGTCAACTCGAGAGGCATGACACATTTACACACACACTTACCCTGCTGTCTAACTCGGAGGGGAACTTGGTCTGGAACTTGCAGACCGTGCCATCGGTGTAGTCTCTCTGAATGAAGACCTTGTTGGCCAGAGATGCGCTGTGTCTCAGTTCCTGAAGGTTGTGGAACTGCAGAGGAGGGAGAGAAAGAGCGATGCATTCTGACTTAATCATAAATCCAATTTCCTTGGGTTGTTAGGTGTCAAACAATCCATGAAAATGACTTGACAAGTGCAGATTTCGGTCCTATTTTATTGGCAGAAAACTTACCACTAGTGGTCATTTACAACATCACTAAAACGAACCTGCTTGGTCATCATTATACTGCATGATGATGTCATTACCTCGTACAGTAATGTCATGAGGTTTATAAAGTATTGCATTGATGTAAATAGCTCATATAATAATGTAGGTAATTTATTTAGAACCAACTAGCCATGACCTAAGGCTTTTCATAATCTTCCTAGGGTCCCACAACACTTAAAATATATAAACTATTCCATAAGAACATTTAGTATGTACATAAGAAAATGTAATATATTCATATACATTACAATACTGCACCATACCCAATCCCACCTTACAATACAGCACCATACCCAATCCCACCTTACAATACTGCACCATACCCAATCCCACCTTACAATACTGCACCATACCCAATCCCACCTTACAATACTGCACCATACCCAATCCCACCTTACAATACTGCACCATACCCAATCCCACCTTACAATACTGCACCATACCCAATCCCACCTTACAATACTGCACCATACCCAATCCCACCTTACAATACTGCACCATACCCAATTTCACCTTACAATACTGCACCATACCCAATCCCACCTTACAATACTGCACCATACCTAATCCCACCTTACAATACTGCACCATACCCAATCCCACCTTACAATACTGCACCATACCCAATTTCATCAGATGTGACGTTTTGAGATGTTTTAGTAATGTGATGATATCATTATCTCACACAACATTGATGTCATTAGTGATAAAATACCAAAATTTGCTATAGTAAAAATTGGTATTTGGTATAGTAAAATTTGGTATAGTTTGGTAACAATTTGGTATTTGGTGTAGTAAAATTTGGTATTTGGTATAGTTTGGTAATAATTTGATAATTGGTATAGTTCGGTAAAAATTTGGTATTTAGTGCAGTAAAATTTGGTATTTTATATAGTTCGGTAATAATTTGGTAGTAAAATTTGGTATTTGGTATAGTTTGGTAATAATTTGGTGTTTGTTATAGTAAAATTTTAGATTTGGTATACCAAAATTTGGTATTGGTAAAATTTTGGTATAGTGTCATAATACCATGCTAATATTGTTTTAAGAGTTCATTTGATTTTTGTGAAACATTTACAACCCGGCCCACTGCAGTGTGGGGGAGTCGGTAGGTTTAAAAAAGTAAACCGTCCCTCGGGTATAGTCAAATTTAGTATTTAGTATATCACAATTTTTGTTAACGTGTTGGTCATAAAACCAAAATTTTTACTTTTATACAATACCTACAATTAAATATCAATACCAATACCAATAACGATACCAATACTAAATTGATACAACAGTATTAGACAAACTCAATGGAAAAAGTCACTGTCTGTATGTATTAATAAACACCCAGTGCGAACACCTTCTCCAAAGTACCATTACTAATACAATGAGGAATTATTTCATTTTGAGAGCTAGGGAATTTGCAAGTTCATTCAAATACCTGCATATCTTGCAACACTAGATGACATTACCTCATTTAGTAATGCGATGATATCATTATTCCATATAAAAAAGCAGTGATGTCATTACCTCATTTAGTAATGCGATGATATCATTATCCCATATAAAAAAGCAGTGATATCATTCTCTCATATAGTAATGCGATGATATCATTATCCCACATAAGAAAGCAGTGACGTCATTATCTCATATAGTAATGCGATGATATCATTATCACATATAAAAGGCAGTGACGTCATTATTTTTATATAGTAATACATTTATATTACCTCATATAGTAATGCAGTGATGCATTATTATCTCATATAGTAATGCAATGATGTCACTATCTCCGAGTAATGCAGTGATGCCATTATATCATACAGTAAGGTCATGATGTCATTATCTCATACTGTAATGTTGTGATGTCATCCATTACAACATTGCACTGAAGTCATTATCTCAGAATAACTCTGTGATGTCATTATCCATGTAATATATAATGCTATGATGTCATTATCCCACACAATACTGCAGTGATGTCATTATCTCAGACAATACTGCAGTGATGTCATTAAATCAGAAGTGCAGAGTTATTTAACCTAATGTCAGAGAAATCCTTCCAAAATTGTACAATTAGAGAGCCACGTGTGGATTTTATCATCATGTCAGACTCGGAGCAATGCAGTGATGTCATTATCAAGCAAAATAACGCAGTGATGCATTAATCCCTTAACATACTGTAGTCTTTATCTCATACAGTAATGCGCCGCTGTTCTTGTTATGTCATACAGTGATGTCTACACTGGTTCGTTTAGTAATGCAGGGAAGACCTCATAATCTAATGGACACGCTACTGCCCGCATGCACACATACACAAAAACATCAAAAGGACTGACCATCTGTCACTGCCAGCCAACACACACACACACACACACATCAACATCAGCATGGGCTGTGGGTCCTTCCATCCCCCACTCTTGTCCTGCGCTTTCACCCCGTTCTCCTGCAGTACCAGGGCAGCCCGATTTCACAGACAGGCATGATAAAACCACAATAACACTATTTTAAGAAACAAACCACTGCACATTGCCAAACAACACAACACGGCCCTGCTAGCGCTGCACGTTATTCATTATCTTTGGACATCTAAAGGTCAGACTGAGACGGTATAATTACACAAGTGCTCCTGACAACCTGTTTATTTAAAAACTCCCTCTAATGTTTTAGAAGCAGGACCGGCCAGTGCACGACGTCCTCTGATATAGTAACAGGCTGAGACAGCACACACACACGCAGTCTTGACACACAGCTCTTCGGTGGTGCTGTGGACTCGATCAATCTCTGGCACTGGACATTTGCACAGATCTCAAGAATTCTTGCACAGCTCAGATAAAAGGCGTATCTGGTGTCAAATAAATGCACAACACCACTTTTTACCTGTTGAACACGCAAAAATATCCACATTGGGAAGGTTTAAGAATTAAAAGACATCAGGAAAACATCTGATGAAACCATATTTCTTCAGTATAAATGAAATTAATAACAGACCTAGCCCCGCAGACACACAACATCATAGGACGTTAGTATTAGGTTAGATTCAGGTCGTGAAGTCAGACATTAACGCAATGACTAGACAACATCGAAGCACAACGTTTTCTTGACGTCCAATAACGATGTGAAATGACGTTGATATTTGGTTGATTTTAGGTTGTGTTTGATAGTGACCAAAATGCAACGTCTGATAGGAGTCATAGTGGTAACGTCCACACAACGTCAAGGTGTGACATGATTAGACGTTGTTATTTGGTTGATATTAGGTTGGACGTTGGCCCGATGTTGGGTTCTGGCATCAACCCGATTTTCATTTCCAAACTAAATCCAATGTCCCCACGACATTGGGGTACAACGTCAATAAGACATCATGTTGACGTCCTGTGCCTGCAGGAAGGACTGGGCCGATAAACAATATTATATTGCATCGTTATAAAATTTATGTCAACAACACTGGACTTTTTTACTCTATATTGATCTAAGAGCCAATTACACAGCAGAAATGTCCAACAATGGGAATCTGAAAGTGAGTTGATATTAAAAATGGACTAAATTTTCATCTAACGAAAATTAATAGGACAAAAATGTTATGCCATTTAATGGACCCTCTGATTTTTGTGGCTTCAGTCATTATTGGTATACTCTTTTAAATCTGGAAGCATTAAAAACGTATTGAGATATACATATTGTTATCGTTCAATATGGAAAATAATTATGGAAATTGCATTTTTGCCATATCGACCAGCCCTATGGACCATGCACAATTGGATTGGATTTGTGTGTATGTAAATATATATAAACTAGAACAGAAGAAATACAAAGGCCAATAAATTTTTTAAGTAAGCATAAAAAAATAAATAAATAAAATAAATTCATCAAAAAAAAAAAAAATGTGGCTCCTCAGCTCAATGTTCCCTAAGTGAAGTTTATTCATAAACTAATTTCGAGAGGAGCACGTGATTATGATTGAACACGGCTGGTCCTGCATTAGCATGCTTGATCCACCAATCAGGCCATTCCTAACCACTATAAAGAGCCAGGGTTTTCTCACTACAGTCATCTTCGATTTGAAGAATACACTGCTCTGCATCAGCTGCTACTGCTACTGCTACTGCTACTGCTACTGCTACTGCTACTGCTACTGCTACTGCTACTGCTACTGCTACTGCTACTGCTACTGCTACTGCTACTGCTACTGCTACTGCTACTGCTACTGCAGCTACATCAACTTCTCCAGCTACAACTTCTCCAGCAACAACATCAACTTCTCCAGCTACATCAACTTCTCCAACAACAACAACTTCTCCAGCTACATCAACTTCTCCAACAACAACAACTTCTCCAGCTACATCAACTTCTCCAACAACAACAACTTCTCCAGCTACATCAACTTCTCCAACAACAACAACTTCTCCAGCTACATCAACTTCTCCAACAACAACAACTTCTCCAGCTACATCAACTTCTCCAACAACAACAACTTCTCCAGCTACATCAACTTCTCCAACAACAACAACTTCTCCAGCTACATCAACTTCTCCAACAACAACAACTTCTCCAGCTACATCAACTTCTCCAACAACAACAACTTCTCCAGCTACATCAACTTCTCCAACAACAACAACTTCTCCAGCTACATCAACTTCTCCAGCTACATCAACTTCTCCAGCTACATCAACTTCTCCAGCTACACCAACTTATCCAACTACAACTTCTCAACCTTCTACTTCAATTGCCTCACACAATGCAATCTCTGTGTCTTCAACCCAATTCTCCAACAAGATCACAGTAAACACTCGATCACCATCCATGAACTTTGCCTAAACTCTCAATGCCTGCGA